GTTGTGAGGAAGGTGTGTCCATCATAAAATAGTTTCAAGCATTCAATCAGAATGTTGCCTGAATTGTCTTCCGTCTGGCAGATTTGCAAAGCACGTTCAGGTTGGCCGAGGGCTCCCTTTCTTTCCAAAGCATTGAACTTCATTTTTGTTTCCTAAACTTATGGAATCATTTCTGGCCAGGGGGATACTTAGAAAGACAGGTGATGCTTGAAGCTAACTAACATCTTGCCTGGCAGTTTCCCTGGAGTTCAGTTATTATTTCTTTAAGCGTAAAAAAAAAACAAGATAGCTTGTCAGGTACAAAGGGAAGTGTCAATTGTCACACCGTTGCCTTCCCAACAGACATGCTATCATGGCGGGGGGAGGGTTGTTTCTTTGTTTTGCTTTTATTAAGATTACAAGGTTGGTCTGTGTTATGAAAAACACTGGATGAATCATCTGGTGTAACTGTTTTCAAATATTGGTCCTGAAAGAGACAGCCTCAAAAGCTTTAGAAAAAAAAATCCAACAACTCTTTAGGGTCTTCACTCCAAATGACTTACAAACCAAATAAGGAAAAGATATGAAGCGGTGTCATTTATATGCACTGTTCCTGTCTATCAAAAGACTCTGGTAACCTTTAATGGCTGAAGGGCAAAGAAAGAGTGCTCCAGATAACATTACTTCAAAGCAAACCTTTGCGGGAAAAATGAATTAACTCAGATATCTGGATCCAGGCTTGAAGGTGGATTTGATTTGAGTTGGGCCCAGCTTGGAAGGAAGAGGGTGAGATATGGGTAAGTCAGTCCAGAGTGATTGTGTGCAGAAGAAATGGAGGTGTTTTTTTCCCCATTGTTTTTACTGAACTATGATGTACAATTAATATTTGATAAGTAGATCAACAGAAATGCATGATGCCTATGTAGAGGGAAAAAAGACAGAAGATACAAAAGATTTATTGCAGTGTAAATAAAGAGACAGGTATGGTACATGTCCCTTTCCCATATATATGTAATAAATACCATATTATGTCTATTGCTATTAAGAAAATTCCTCCAGATTTGATAAAACTGTGGTCCCTGCTTGTGCTGTCTCATTATATCAAGATTGCCTATGGTTTTTTTCCCCCATAGGGAGCAATTGAAGTGGCCTAGTTAATCCACATCTCAATTGTATTCTATCTAGAATTTTCCAATGTTGCGCAGTTGTTTTGGCTGCTAAAATTAGATAATAAAGTATTTTTAAGCTTGAGACTTGGTCCAGTAAATACTCCAGGGAGCATCTAGTTCTTTGGTGGTGTTACTTACCTCCCCCCAAAAAATATGTCCCAAAAGGATATAGTTTTTATTGCATGACCAGCACAAGCTAGTATAAGATTATGTTGCTGAAGCTCCAATGTTTCTATTGTTCCAAAGGGATTTGAATTAATATCACCTATTCATTGCTCTATGGTTGATCTTTAGTGTGAGATTCCCATTACTATAAACATATCTTAGTCTATATTTTCTCAAAAAATGCAAAAAAATTAACCAAACTTTAATAATTATTCTGTTCAGTATGTTATTAAAGAAGTTAAAGGAGATATATCCTTTATCAAAGCTACTGTCAACCCTGAAGCTGGCCTGGCTGAAGCTATTTTGAAGCTTCGGTGTTGCCACACTGGAGATGAGGGATAGGGAGGGCGGGGAATAGAGATAGCTTGGGCTTGTAGCCAAAACAAAATACTTTCTCCTGGGAATCAAGGACATTCCCACAGGGTGACCAGAGAGAGGAGGAGTGAAGTTACCAGGCAACCTGACGACACCTTGATTGGACTATGTGACTGTTTAGGGAAGGGGGGAAATTTTACTTTTAATTAGGTGAAAACCACGGAAACATTCAGTTGGTTTTCACCAGATCTGTGCCAGTATGATATGTCCAATAAAGCTATTCTTTGAGGAATCTACCTGCCTCAGAGTTTTGTTTGCTATGGGTGTATTACTTGGAACCCTGGCAGGTATGTCTTTACTTTCAAATTTGAAAGCATTCCTTTAATGAAAACATTTACAATCTTTTTTATTCTAGAAAAGTATTTTGGGTTGGCCTTAATATGGTTTCAATTTGGAACATTGTTTAGGAGAGTTTTCCGTAATAAATTGAGTCATATACCCTAATTGTACCACTTAATAGTATATTATCAGATTAAGCACCCTCTCTGTTTCTGAGGTCTATATAAAATCCTTTTATTTATTCTCATTTTTTTCATTAAAACAGAAGGTATTATTTATTTATTACCCATGCCTTCAAACCTGTCCTGAAATTTCCAATAACAGGCATCGAAATGGAAAGTTGAGCTGTGTAAAGATTTTCATTTTTACCTTTGCAAGTCGCCCTAAAATGTTAAAATGTTTTGAAGCCTAGCTTTTCATTTCCCTATTTAATTTATTCCATATTAACATAAAATTGTTAATAAAAAATCATTAACATATTTAGTGATGCTTAAATATTTTGAGGATGTATACACTATTGGAATCCCTAAAAGAGCAGAAAATTTCTTTTGAATTTTTGAGTGTGTATGAAAAAAAACGTGAAATGTGATTTGTGAAAATTAACTAATAGTCCTGACACCTCTGCAAATTCTTTTAGCTCCTTCTCAATATAGTTAAATAGTGATGAAAATGATCTACACCTTGCAATTGCTCTTAAAACAACCTGTCCTTTCTTTTTAATAATTGCACAGCTCTTATTTCCAGTCTCTAAATTACTACTGACTTAGATTCCCCTGATTATGTCATTTCATATACCCCGATTTAAATATGAATAAAGAAGCATAACCTCAGGTGAGTTGTTTTCTTGTTTCAAGATGAACCTGTTATTGTGGAGCTGTAATGAGGGGAGAATCATGTATTTGTATGGGCTAATTGGTGAGTAAGTATATTTTAAGTTAAATTTCCCCAACGTTGGCAATTTTGTCTAGCTCAGCCTTTTCCAGCTCAATGCCCTGAAACTAGGTTGGGAACAATGATGGGATTCAATTTTTTTTTACTAATCGGTTCTGTGGGCATTGCTTGGTGGGCATGGCAGGGCAAGGGTACTGCAAAATCCCACTAACCTGCTTTCCAGCTCCATCATCCTTTGCAGGGCAACAAAAGAAGACCCAGCCGATCAGCTGGGACTCGGGAGGCAGAGAATAGGTGGGGGTGGGGCCAGTCAGAGGTGGGATTTGCCAGTTCTCCGAACTACTCAAAATTTCCGCTACCGGTTCTCCAGAACTGGTCACAACCTGCTGAATGCCACCTCTGGTTGGGAATCACAACTTCCAGACCTCTTGGACAGCTAGTAGTCCCAAGACCTCTGCAGAAGAGACCATGGAACTGTCATCCTTGGTCTATTCTGGTGTATCTTGCTGATTTCTGCTATTGTCTTCTTAGGAATGCAGAGTTGCAGAATTTTTACTACCTTTTGATTGGTTTGGATTTTTATTTTTTGTCGAGCCTGGTAGAGAACAAAGGATGTTTTGAAACTTTTCCTCCCTCTTAAACCCTTTTATTCCTTTGGGAGAAATAGAGATTGCAAGGACATGCAAACTAAGAGGAAACCCAGAGGTGGTATTCAGCAGGTTCTGACCAGTTCTGGAGAACTAGTAATGGAAATTTTGAGTAGTTTGGAGAACCAGCAAATACCACCTCTGACTGGCCCCGCCCCCACCTATTCTCTGCCTCCCAAGTCCCAGCTGATTGGCTGGGTCTTCTTTGGTTGACCTGCACAGGAGAATGGAGCTGGAAAGCAGGTTAGTGGGGTGGGAAGGGAATGGGGATTTTGCAGTAACCTTTTCCCAGGTGTGGGGAGGGAATGGGGATTTTGCAGTATCCTTCCCCTGCCATGCCCACCAAGCCACGCCTATAGAACCGGTAGTAAAAAAAATTGAATCCCACCACTGAGAAAACTCTTAATGAAAAATTCTCAGCCTGCTTCCAAACTTTAGTTCCCAAGTTTCTTTAGAGGAATTATGATGGCTAAAGTTGCATATTGCAAGGACCCAGATGTTATTGGAAAGATCCATATCTTTAAGCTAAAGAACATGTTATGAAATCTGGATTTGCTCAAACATTATCTCCTTCTGGCTGTATTCACACAACACACTTAAGCAGGCAAATTAAAAATGTATCGATTGCACAATCTATTAAGATTAGTCAGTTTAAGAAAACTTCCGGTTTGCAGGGCTTCGGTGCCAGGCAGGAATCCGCGATCGTGCAGAACACAAGTTTTCTCTTCCAATTTTCAAGCAGTCACTGGTCCAGCATTTCCACCCTCCGTGCATTAAGTGAAGGTTTAAAGGAGGAAGGGAGCTACTCTTCAGGGTCCATATAGAAAAGTATGAAGAGGAGTTTACTGTCTCTCTCTCTCTCTCCCCGTTTGAGATGATCTTCTTCAGTGCCTAAACCATCCAGTCCAGGACTGTCTATAATGTACAGGAGTAGTTCTTAAGAGGAGCTTCCCAACTCTATCTGGAGATGTCAGATGATTCTTTGGCATTCAAACTTCTCAAATAGGGATCTCCAAATCTCCAAACTTGGCCATTTTAAGACTTGCGGACTTCAACTCACAGGATTCCCCACCCAGTATGGCTGGCTGGGGAGTTCTGGGAGTTGAAGTCTGGAAATCTTAAAGTTGCCACATTTGGAGACCCCTGCTCTAGAACTACAAACACATTCCTGACTTGTCTGGGGGCTTCAGACTATTTAAGGGGCTGTGCATGGAACAATCATATTTCATTCCCAGCAAGCTTGGGAAAAAGTGTCCGTGCTAATTAAAAATATAAATACCCAATTCAAGAATTTGCACTGTCCTAAAGCAGAGTCACAAATTCTTTATAAAGACTCATAACAGCAGTTGTGGTCTAACTAACCTTCAGAATCCTGCCTCAACTTTGGAATCCAAAGACCTCTTCAGAAGTTATTGTCTTTTTTATTGTCCTAAGGCAAGGAAGACAAACACAACCTCAGACAAAGAAAAAATTTAAATGTTTTTATTAAACGTTAAAGAATAACAGAAAGATTTGGGCTGAAAAACATACAGAACACAATTCATGTCATGACGTACATTTAATTTGATCTTGTTTGTTAAACTCTTGTGAACAGAGCTCTCCTACAAGGCTGCCAGAAATACAACGGTTGATCACTTGAGAGAGGAAAAAAAGGTGGAACATTTTTCCAAATAAATCAAAAATACCAAAAGCTCATTCTTGCTTTTTCTCAAACAACACACATGCTAATGCAAGTGTGCATACATGCACACATACCACGCACATACAATTTTTGAAGCAAGAATAAAGGCCAGGGGACCAGTTAACTCAAAAGATAAGGCTAAGTTTAATTCATTGATAACTTACCAAAACCTTACTCAGAAGTAAGCCCACTGTGTGCAAAATTACTAGAGCATATACAATTGTAGCCTAATTTACATCTCACTCCAGCAAATAATGTGCAGTCTTAAATCAATGCAGCACTGAAATAACAGACCACATTTAAAGATGACATACGTTCCTAACAATACCAGAGGATGGAAAAGCTGTGGCCTTCCTGTTTTAGCCAACTCTTTGCCATACTGGCTGAGGCTGATGGGTATGCAACATCTGCAAGACATCTGGAGGGTGACAGTTATCTGCAAGTTTCATAATGGATGAAATGGTTGGTTTGGGTAATCATTTACTGAGAGATCAGGAATGTTTCTTGCAAACACTTTGCCAGAATTTACACTGGCTTCTTGGTGCAGGTAACCATCAGTCCTTAAGCAGGTGCCTTCCAGAAATATTAGGGGTACTACGGACTTGCTAGCTGGCATGGCTTTGGGCTGGTTCAAAGTATGAGCAATATCACGTTTGGGGAATATATTCCTCTCCCAGTTGGGAGAGGCTGGCAGATAGGATTTGGAAGAAGACATCTCTTTTATTCCAATGGCAGCTTGATTCACAAGCCAATATAGATCTAGCTATGTAATCTGAAATGTGCAGGCAGCTCTCAGGTTTCAGTTCTGATCAGTGGTCGCTGTTGGCCTTGCTCTAGATTCTGCCCATCTCTGGAGAATCCATCCTCATTTGCCCTGTGTTCAAGTCACAGCTGACCTACTCAGCTGTCCTCATTTATGGTGTTTCTTAACTAGTTTCTCTGTTTGTTCTTTTGAGAGAAGCTTACCATTTACCTGTACAGATTCACATGATAAAACTGAATAAACTAGCAGGCCAAGTTGAAGATCAAAATTGGAAGCAAACAAAAGCGTGTTTGGAGAACAGATCAAGTGTGGGCATCTGGTTGCTTTGTTGTGTGTTCAAGGTGTTGTATTGTGTGTAACTATGGATTATTCACAGAAGCCACTGCATAATTTGACAATGGCTTCTATAATTCGATAGGGTTGTCCTGTCTGGAAATTAAGTGATCCTACAATGATAAAGTAACTGGTATTTCTAATATTAACAGCTCTGTATCCACATCTTTACATCTCAAAACAATTTGTGAAATTATATTTCTTTAATGTCACCATATCCATAATTGACTTAAAACTGTCCAGCCTGCAAAGCATCTTTGTTAATTTGATTTTCCATACTGGCACCTCCAGACAAGACAAAATTATGAGTTAGACCATTAAAATATTTGGGATTTGGGGGAAATGAACAGAGTCTCTGTTCACAACTTCTTAAATTAGGCTTGTTTTACATTCAGTGAAAATTATTATCTTAATATTTATTTTTACTTTCACAACACACAAACTTTTAGAAAGCAATATTTACTGGCCAGTAGAGGATTGTTTATCCCCTAAAGACGATTACTCAAAGCTGAAACAATTGTCCAAAAAATCTATTAAAGTATTTAGGATACTGAGATATATTTTCAATCTTTCCAGAAAGTCCTCTAAGAATGGCAACATTTCTTTGTAATTGTCCAAAACTTTTGTTTAAATTACTTTTAATATAATGTAATCTTATGTAACAGAAATGCACTTGTTTTGGTGAAAAAAGGGATCTAGAAAGACATATGGCACCGTAATTCGTTGAAAAAAGTGATCTAGAAAGACATGTGGCACCGTTATTAAAAAATACCCTTCCCTACCTTTCCTGTAATTCCCCACAATTCAAAAAAGCATCACTTCAAGTATAATGAAAGCCAAGTATGGCTCAAGTAAGTCACATGGCTTTGCTCATTCTTGTATTCAACCAGTGAGAGAATGAGACTGGGCAAGAAAATTGAAACAATGGACCTCTAGAAGATGCCAGAAGGAAAGTAGTAATAATAAAGGAGAGCTTTTGTAGCTCAGGGTTAACATGAGAAAGCACTAAGCATGAAGACAGAGTGTGGAATCTGTGCTGTCTAGATGTTGTTGGACTTGTTGGTCCGCATTAGCCAACATGTGTAAGAGTAAACCACAAGAAGCTATGTGGTTCCACAAGCAGAAAAACTGCCTTACAGAAAACTGTGGGCACCAAAATTGGCATAAGAGGAATTCAGTTGGGACAAGTGTGTCAAACAGGATACCAGGGTAGGGAAGGAGCAACTAACCTGGCCCCTTGTCTAATGTGCGAAATGATTCTTACGGCTTCTAAATGGTCCCCCCAAATCAAACCCTCCTTTTAAACCTGGAGAAGTACACAGAGCTACACTGCTAATCACCTAAAAGAGCTGCAGCTGGCTGGGAATTGTGGATGCTACAGTCCAATGCAACTAGAAGTCCAATATTTGGGGAGGTATCTGAAGCAGAGAGCTTCCCTGCTCTCCACTGTACTGAGTTGAAAAATAGGGCTTCTGTTTTAGTTCTGTTAAGCTGTGTATTGGGAGAGGTCTGGGCCGACACTCCAGCCTTCTCAGCTGTCTTTTCAAAGAAACCTGCTTCAATCTGCAAGAATTATACGTATCCAAAACTTTAACCATGGATACAAAACCTCGCCACGGGATAGAAATCTCAAAAAGGATTGATGTAAGCTCTGAGAGCATTATTATTATTATTCATGCTGCCCAATCCCCAATGTATCTGCACCCCAGTGACAGATGTCACTTTTGTCCAACCAATTAACGGCAATTTTTAAAAGAACAGCTGAGCTGTCTTTGCTCAGGAGAAATTTGAAAGACTGCAGCAGACATGCAGAAAACATTTTAGCGTCCTGTCTATCTCTATGAGGCCCCAGCCCCTTTTGCATGGAAGTTTACGTGAGGTTGGAAGAAATTCTACAGGCCTTTATGTGGAAAGGGGGATGTGCATAAGTCTTTTCATATACCGGCAGTTGCTAAAGTGGGGTACACTAAGAAAAAGAGAGCCTTCAATTGCACCCAATGGGATCCTTCCAGAAGGAAGCAACTGAGCCCAGTGACATGGATCACTCTCTAACTGAAAACACAAAACTATGTTGATGTGCCAGTGGCAACCGTACAATATCATCATTTTTTTAAAAAGCCCTAAAAGCATTTCTTCGGTATTCAATATTCATGAATATATAAAGAGATATATTTTTGTCTTTAAAGTGAAATAATCTAGTTTTTTTAACCCTCTCTTTGCTAAAACATATGATATATCTATCTTATTCCTTTTCCCAAAATACAGAATCAACATTTGTCCTTGAAAAATACTGTACAGGAAAAAAAGCACACTCTAAAGATTCCGTATAAATTTTATACATTTTATAATAATCAATTTCTTTTGGTCTTCAGGAAACATTTAAAAGAACTGAATTAACCATAGTATGACAGCAACAACACTTTTCAATATATATATCTGCATCTCTTACATTCATTTCCTCCCCACCCTCCAAAAATACTTTATATAATATAGCATAAGTTTAGAAACAAATCATAGCTGGAGAAAAAACAGGAGAATCTTTGAAAACAATCAGCTCATCATACAATCACAGCAGCATGCCAAGGCAAAAAAAAACAAAACCCTGCAAATGTGACTTCTAACTGAATCAAAGCCATTTGAGGGGAAAAAGAAGAAAAACCCAGCAGGTGAGAAATCTATGGAAATTATATTGCACACAATAGACTAAAAAGCTGAATTCAAAGTCTTTCCTAAGAAATAAGTATTTCAGAATGTCTAAGGGAGCTTCTTAGTCATCCAGGTCATGATTGACCCAAAGGTGTTTTTTCCAAAGGCAACTGGGCTTTCCTGGGTTTTTTCCTTGAAGACATTTTGCTTCTCATCCAAGAAGCTTCTTCAGCTCTGTTCAGTTTGGAAGATCTGAAGAAGTTTCTTGGATAAGAAGGGAAAATGTCTTCAAGGGAAAACAAAGAAAGTCCAGTTGCCTTTGGAAAAAGCATCTTTGGGACAAGAATTTCAGAAACTGAACATCAGTGGAAATAAAAAAATACAAGTCTACTCAAACTCCAAAGAGAGTGTAATGTAGGCCTTTTTAAATTTTGGTTTCCAGTTCTCTGGTCAGTGAACTATCTTGATTTTTGTATAGAGTTTCATCCTGACCAAACATTGCAATCAGCATTACTTCTACATACCAAGGACAACACTGGACTCTTTGGGTGATAGGCCAAAGGCAAGCATCACTTGACCCTTGACTCCAATAGTGGATTGATCCAAACTCCTTCAGTTATGCCAATCGCAGATTGGTTAAGGGCAAGGACTAGGATCTGTACAAAAAGCAGCAGATGTTAACAAGAGCAGCTTGACCATCAAAAGCAGACAAGCTCTCTCCCAATGGCCAAATTCAAAAGCCCTGTGAACTGAGCAGATTGGAGAAAGATTTGCAGAAGCAGCTTAGCAGGTCATTAGCTGAATTGACACCCTGAATTCCCCCAAAATTTAACTGACAGCTTTTAGATTTCCACTTGCTGGTCGCAAAGTATAAAATAAATCAGATGAAAGATAAAGTTAACCTGCTCAGTTCTTGATAAGATTGAAACAAGCATTTCAGAGTTGGAGTCTGTTAACCTTTAAGTGTTTTGCACACCTGTATAATTTAGTGTTGTGCCCTGCCCATCACAGAAAAAGGGGAGGAGGGATGGAAGAAGCAAAAATTTAATTCACCTAAGGCAGGAATATGTTTTGGCCTTATCCGTACAGTATGCATGGATACTGTACAGACATCTGATGAACATGTTTTTGCTTGTCTGGTCAGGGGTCATTTTTAGGCAAACTATGAAGAAATCTTTAATGTTTTAGGAAAAAAAGCGCACTAAAACAGTATTAGGGTACCAAAGTCATCCAATGCCCACGAGAAATATTTTAATCTGTACAAGAGAATTACTGATTATGCCTAGGGGATGCAGTCTATTTATAATTTTAAAGCAATGAAAGGAAAGTTGGCTATTCCTTATTTCTGTACAAGGAGGATATAGAATACATAATGAATCTGAAGATCTATTTTATTTACCAAAATGTAAAAACATACAGTAAATGAAAACCGAAACAAAATAAAAAGGCGAAATCTATAAATTAGTATCTCTGCAGTATAGCATGAATATCAATTGTGCATAATTATCAGTAAGTTTACACTGCCTGATGTGCCTTATTGAAATAACAAAGCAGAAACAGCTTTTTCTTCTTTCTCTTGTTCTTTCTTATTACCAAGGTGCTTTTCTTTCATTTTCTTTCCCAAGTTAAATCAAAAGAATGGGATAGGATAAGACAAAAATACAGTTTAAGCAGCACTGGAAAATATATACATACATATCTAGATGCATGTATTCCATAAAAAGTTTATTATGGCCAGTCTCAGCCAACCCAACCCTACAAAGAGGGTTTCATAAAAACACAGGAGCCAAGGCAGACATGCACACTTATTCACAAGCATGCCTGCACGGGTGTGCACACGCACACACGCACATGCATACACAGAGGTTGTACACTGGTTCTGGTTCTGCTTTCTGTTAAAGTGCCCATGACTGAAAAGTTGGTTTGGGTGAGGTGCTATCAAACAGGAAACACACTGTCCCATCTATTTAAATGCCAAACTACAAAATAAAATTAAAAAAAATAAAAAGGAGATGGGAAGAAAAGAAACGGGGATTGGGATGGATGGGAGGGAGGTTAGGAGGCCATTTAGAGAGGACCATGCCGGGCTTCATACTTGACAAGCACGTTCTTGCATTTGCCCAATTCTTTCCGTAGGTCAGCCACCTCCTGGCGCAGGGCCGTATTCTCCTTTTCAAGGAACGAGGCACGAATAGCAATCTGGTTTTCCTTCAGCCTCCGGGCATCTCTGGATCGCTTGGCAGCCATGTTGTTCTTTCTACGTCTTGCCCAGTATTTGTCATCCTGCTCATTAATCACAGAGGAAAAGAAAACCGGTGTTAGATTTCAGTAGATGAATAGAGGCCTATAAGGCGTCAGCCAGGCTGTAGGTATTCTGTGTGTTTACCTCAAACACTGTTGTGTTGAAAAGCAAGTGCAATATGACACTTGCAGGGCTGGGATATCTTCTAAAACAGAAATACATACAAACTGCCTATCTACTTGTACAGTTTGTATTTTAATGCTTGTTTTTAATAGATGGATGGATGATAGAAAGAAATAGATAAGTTAATAAATGAGAGAAGGGGTGGGACACAGGGGTGGGATTCTACCAGTTCGCACCTATTCGCTAGAACTGGTTGTTAACATTCTAAGCAGTTTGGAGAACCGGTTGTTAGAAGAAATTACTGGCCAAATCCTGTAAGGAAGGCAGGAAGGAGACATTCTGGTGTTGCTTACAGAAACTGCCTCTCTGTTAACCCTTATTACATTCTTGGCAGGACTAGACTTCCTGTCTCAGGAACTTCTCTGGAGTTTTTTTCCCTCCTTTGCTGGTACTTTGCTTGTGTGGAGTGACCATTCAAAGTTACAATGGCACTGAAAAAAGTGACTTATGAACGTTTTTCACACTTACGACTGTTGCAGCATCCCCACAGTCATGAGAGGCCAGGTGAGGAAATGCATGCCTCAATGTGAGTGATGTTGAGTTGACCACACCCAGCTAGTCACATGCCCACCAAGCCATGCCCACCAACTAAGCCACACCCACAGAACTGGTTGTTAAAAAATTTGAATCCCACCCCTGGGGAGGGTGGATGGGTGGATGATAGAAATAAATATGATAGATGGATAAAGATGAATAGATAGATAGATAGATAGATAGATTAGAGATAGCGATGGATGAAGGGGTGGATGATAGAAAGAAATAGATAAGTTAATAAATGATAAATGGAGATACACAGAGAGAAAGATAGGGATGGATGGATGGATAGATAGATAGATAGATAGATAGATAGATAGATAGATAGATAGATAGACAGACAGATAGACAGACAGATATAGATTAAAAAGTAGATGATATATGGTGAAATACCACGTAAACTAGTGAAATCGTCATGATCTAGCAAAATAATGAGGTGATAAGGAGACTTTTAAATCTTTAGAGTTTTATTGTGCACTGCTCAGAAAATCCCCCTCTGAAAATGTGAAAAATAAATAAAATTTTACAACTAAATTGAGGCATCTTCTTGATCCTGGCATCCAGTGGAATGATAACCCCTAGCATCGCAAGTTAATCAGGGTCATGGGAGCCAATGCACCAAGAGGATGCCAGGTTAGGAAGACAGGTGAAGAAAAATCAAAGAGAATCAGGAAAAGGACTTCTCCAGTTTGTTTGATGGAATTCTTTCTCCTTTCTTGCAATTTAAACAATAAAAGTTCCACTCTTCCAATTTAAATAGTAGAACCCCTTTGCTGGATTATTTTCATCTTAATTAGATAAAGCCATTTCTTGTTTTTTTTAATTGTTAAAGTATGGTATTTTTAAAGATGTGCATTTCAAATCTTACTTAAATCTTACTTAGCACTCAAAAGAAAGTGTCAATAAATTCATTGGAGCTCACTTCCAGGCAATTGCGCAAAGGATCACATTTCTAATCCATAAACCTAATTATCAGTGGATCATAACTTAGGTGTAGATATCTTTTAACTCAGGTTTTTAGCAAAGTACTAAGGCCTACGTGGAAGGCCTAGCACATTGCTAAAACCCTGAGTTAAAAGATACCCTTTGAAGAGGAAAAATGAATAAAGTAGGAAATAAATGTGCAAATCAGATGGAAATCAGTGGTGGGATTCAAATTCTTTTACTACCGGTTCTGTGGGCATGGCTTGGTGGGCGTGGCAGGGGAAGGATACTATAAAATCTCCAGTCAGAGGTGGCATTTGCCAGTTCTCCGAACTACTCAAAATGTCTGCTACCTGTCCTCCAGAACTGGTCAGAACCTGCTGAATACCACCTCTAGTGGAAATGACTAGGAATCAACAGGAGCTAGTATAAATGACTGCTGTACTTCATAGCTTTTCCCTGGGCACTACTGCTCCAACAGTGATAAGAAGGAGGAAGTGTTTTTAACTTCTGTTTTTCTTATGCTCATTTTTCCCCAAATGCCGTCCTGGGAATAATGTTGAACTGACAACCAAAAGTCACTTCAGCATGGTCAGAATGTATTTATGTATTTAAGAGACTTGTATGGCTATTCAACTTATGTGCCATAATCCTGGATGGCTTATAGCACCAGTGGTATAAAACAATAAAGCCGGTATCTAAATAACAATTCTTGGCATCCCAATCACCAATGAATGAAAAAACCTACCATCATTAGATTCCAGCTTCACCTCACTTGAAAGAAAGACCTGGCTTTTAAAACTTTCTGGAAGGCTTGAAAGGTGGGAACTGCAGAAGGAGGATGTTTTACAGGGCAGGGGCTATTCTGCTGAAAATATTTCTCACAGCAACCCCTCCACAGGGGCTCTCCTGGTTCCTCCTTACCTAGAAAGCACCTGGTCATCTGAACAAAATCAACAGCCGAGCCCAATAGCCTGACTCCAAAATTAAAGCGTTTTAAGATTGCCTCATGAATCTCTCTCTTTTTAGCTAGAAGGATGGTAAATTGCCTCATGTATTTCTGCAGTGCCTACTTCCCATCTCCTTCCTCTCCAGGGGGAAAAATAAGTAACTTTAAATTCAATTGGTTCTTGTATTACCAAGGCCACGCACATCTCTTATATTTAAAAAAAAATTACAAAATTAAAACCTTTAATCAGTGGTGGGATTCAAATAATTTAATAACCGGTTCTCTGCCCTAATGATTTCTTCCAAGAACCAGTTCACCAAACTGCTCAGAAAGTTAACAACCGGTTCTCCCAAACTGGTGTGAACTGGCTGGATCCCATTACTGCCTTTAATCCCAGCTTGAAAGGACAGGAAGCATCTGAAATCACATATATGTCCAGAGACTATCAATGGATCTAATTTGTGCTTGCCTCTCTACCTGAATTCTGCAATCAATTTAACCCAAGGAAGCACAAGCTCGGGTCAAGCTTTTTGCTAAGAATGGAACGAGATGAAGCAACACAAATGCCAGGAAGTCACTGCCTATAATTTCAATCCACAGAGATCATCAGCAACTCATTCTAAGGCTTCTTGGTGTTTAATGGCTGGAAAAGTCTTTAAAAAAAAAAAAAAAAACCTCTCCTCCCCCTTTGTTATTCTGTTCCCAGGTTTATATTTGTGAGATGAATGCAAAGACACATGTAGAGAGTTTCTTAACTTTTTCAAGACCACAGAATTATATATCAAACAAGACTGGCTTTTTGAATAAAGAAAGCCGGTGACTCTTTTAAAATAATTGAAGTAATACATGCTGTAATAACTCAACTTGCTTAAGGGAATTAGCAACCCCACCTCACCTGAGCTGGCTCTTTTTAGCTCTCTCACAAATCTTTCTGAACAACCTCTGCAGTCCTGTGCATTTTAGAAGCCTGGGATTTAGAAGCAAGATTTATCGCATCTGCAATTCTTCACAGTTATCCTATTTATAATTGGTACAGCGTATGTCCAGCATTCTGAGCTCAGAGAAGAATTGAGAATTTCAATCCAAGGTCTATTCCTTTGGAAGTAGCCCACTGAACAACATCTGATTTCAGGTAAAAAGAATACCACATTTCCCTAAAAGGAAGACAATCCTGAATTTAAGGTGATCCCACCACCTTGTCCACTAAGAGGAAGGGTACAAAAATTAAAGTGAGTACAGGGGGGGGAAAAAAACCCTGCAATTTCCAATTTCCTTAGGTTAAGAATCTAGGATTGTCAACCCGAGCTGAACCCACTCTTGGAGATTCCATTCCACGTTCTCATAATACAATATTTGTTTATTGCTGCCAACTCTACCACATTAAATTGCTGTCCTTCCTAACTCTATCACAAGCATAGGAGAAGCCAGAAAAAAAGGACACAGTTTCTTTAAGAAGTTATCAACGGATTTGACTTATCTATCCCTCTGCATGCTCCAATTTATCTTTTCCCTCTGCACAGCCCTAGACACCAGTCCCAAGTTACCTTCAGATCTTCGGGAATGAAGACTTTGCGAGCTTTCTTAATCATCGGCTGGGGCTTGAGCTCCTCCTCAGAGAACTTGCGCTTGCGAGGGTCAAATATTTCCTGACCAGGAATGCTAGAAAGAGCAAGATCGGCAGGGTCTGGTTCATACCCAGCTTGAACCTGAATGCTGTCGGGATCAATGGGACTTGGCGTGTTTCGGTTTGTAGGCAAGATCGGACCTGAAGAAACAAAGAAACAAACAGAAAAGATGCTTTATCAATAGAAGAAAATATTTGTAGCTTAGGTTGACCTGTGGTATTCTGAGCTTGGTGGTTTTCTTGCAGACATTTCATTACCCAACTAGGTAACATAATCAGTATTAGAAAGGAATGAAACCCCCATTTCTTCTAATACTGCTTATGTTCCCTATTTGGATAATACAGCATTACTATATCCTAGAGTGGACAGGACAAGCCTGCATGTTATGAACAGAGAGCAAACCCCACTCATTCCTAGCACTGAAGGGTAGGAAATGAACCATCACCAAGGTCTCTCAGAAAGACCAAGGACACCACAAATGATGCTTTGAAACAATAAAACAATATTGCTCTGTTAACCACCTTAACCCCCAAAGACTATTATCTGTCACATTTCCACTGTCTTGTCCTCTAAGTAAGTTGGTGCTTACACCCCCTCTATTTAGGGAAGCGAGCCCTGGTCAGTTTGTAATATACTTTGTCTTCTCTCTGCTTTTAACTGAATGCTCTCAAAGCCATATTCACTGGACTATCTGAGAACATAAGAAGAGCCAATATTCTGCCACAGAGTGGCCAACTAGGCCAACTCAGGAAGGACAGACACATGGACAGGAGAGCCACTGCCCTTTCCCACTACTGTACTGTTCTCTAGCAATTAGCATTAAGTCATTCTGTCTTTGACCCAAGGTGTAAAGTTACCAAGAATAATATCAACTGATATATATCCTAATTATAGTTATTTGGTAGACCCTGGTGTTTATATCACAGAACAGCCTTTTAGGAAACTTAAGTCTGAGACACGATGAGAAGCTTAGATTTATACAAGTCTCCAACTAAGTATAGCAAGGTTGTCAAACTCCTGGCCTATGGGCTGGATGCATCATGCGCTGGCCATGCTACGCCCGGTTTAGCGAAGGGGAAAAAAAGTCCCAATACATCATGTGACGACATGAGTTTGACACCCCTGAAGTATAGCTTCAAGAACTGAATCCAGTTTACCTCTTCTGTTTTCACTTAAGACCCATTAGCAATTAAGACGTTGGAATGGGAGCAGGGAAACCCAAGGCCAGGTCCATCCTTAGACAGGGAAGTTCCCTGGGTGAGTTTGGGTTGGGAATACTCTCTCAATCCGGTCTACCTCACAGAGTAGCTACTGTGGTGAAATGTAAAAGGGGCAGCTGTGTACACTACTTCAAGCTGCTGAATGAAAGATGGAATATAATACCAATAAAATAATCCAGTCTCTTAAAATGTTTCTTAACACACGAGAAAGTAAGACCATCCCTAATGGCCGTGAAGATGTCACATACATGCCATCTTTTGGATGCCCAGAAAAGATTCCTCTTGTGAGTGTGATGCTTTGGGTGAGATAATTAAGCATGATGCCATTCGGACTCACATATTGGAAGTAAGCAAGATTTACTAAAACTTGAATGAGAACACCCAAGAATATGAACGGATCAAGTCAGAATGTGTACCTGTCTTGGGGTGACTTCAAATCCTAATTCTGAATATTGGCTGGTATTTCCCAATATAAACCAATCCCCACAAGTCAAGGGCCTGCTAAATTATCAGGTGACAAATTGATCACTTTACAAAAAGGAGCAGGTAATAGAAATAACATAGATCTCCTCTTTGGAATTATGGCCCACATTCAGCCAACCTCTCTGTGTAAAATATTGACTCACTGCAGTACTAGCAATATACTGTTGCCAGTTAGCCTGCAGTAGATCCAGAGCGGCCAATAAGGCTGAAGAGAAAGTAAGATTTCTCCCCTTATTTTACTAAATGAGTGGTTTTATAAAGTCTCGATGCCACTTCAAATAATCCTTGAGTTAGAAAAGCTGGACGTAGGAATGCCAGATCAGCACCTGTTCTCTCTCTTGGATGGCTGATCGGTCATATTGACTGTTGGTGCGCTGAGCCCTGAGAATCAGATTACGTAAGGAAAGTTGGAATCCATTTGTACAGCTCTTTCTCCATCCATATGCTCATTTGCTCATTTCGCTTCCGTATGCTGCAGGAGTGACACATCTCTGACCCTTAACGTGCATTGTTCTTTGTCAGCTGGGGGTTTGTGCTCAAAGCAGGAAAAAAAGTCACCTCAAGTGTGCGTCTTTTGAGTCGTTCGTTGCAGCATACCATGTATCGCTTTCCAAAATAACAGGAGAAAGGTGTAGACTAGGGAAAGCTGTTTATGAAAGGCACAAAAATGTTGATTCCATGGAAGTCGTGCCTTGTCAAATTCCTTCTACGAAGCAATGCGATAGCATTTGCTGGCAGGGAGGGCCGAAAAGCCAGCTGGGGGAAAGTTATTCCCCCATTTTTTTTAAACATAAAAGTAGAGATCCAGAGATTCATCTCTTTTACCAATAATAGAAAGTTTCCTTTTTGCACGGTGGGCCAGGATGCTCGGTGCCAAGGTACTGAAAAATAGGCATATGCTGTTTTAGTTTTGCTAACTGAACAGATGATAATAGTGAGGATAAAAATGAAAAGTGGCATTTGATGATAAGCTTAGCCTTGTTTACACATCTGATCTGTGGCAGATGCCAAGAAACCTCCTCAGCGACTGAGCAGGAAACTAAGAATTCTTGGTTCAAGCACAGCATCCAACCCTCTCCTTCAGACTTTCAAGATAATAATGGATGGTTGGTCATGCTTTGTTGTAAAGGGTGTCTTTGATTTGCAACCACAATTGAGCCCCAAATTTCTGTTGCTAAGCGAGGCAGTTGTTAACTGAATTTTGCCCACATTTTATGACCTTTCTTGCCACGGTTGTTAAGTGAATCACTGCAGTTCTTAAGCTAGTAACATGGTTAATGACTCTGGCTTCCCCATTGATTTTGCTTGTCAGAAGATCACAAAAGGTGATCACTGCAGCCGTCATAAATACGAGGCAGTGCCAAGTGTTTAAATTTTGCTTACGTGACCATGGGGATGCTGTAACAGTTGTAAGGGTGAAAAATGGTCATAAGTCACTTTTTTTCAGTGCCGTTTTTACTTCAAATATTTCACTAAAGGAAATTTTGTAAGTCAAGGACTACTCGTATTCAGGCCATTCTGCATAATGTTACATTCGAAATGCATTATATGTTGTAACCACCCACCAACAAATGTGGAAGTTTTCATGCAATTGAAACACTTCTATCTCGTGTGAGTAACATGGATAATTTTGGCTGTGATATTCCGGGATGCTCTTTCAACACATATTTAAACACAGCATGAACACTCCAAATCTGTATTGTTCTCATGCTCTTGCTTATGCTGTTGTGACACCAAAAGCAAGACTGTGGGATGTTTCCAAGAAGATGCATTTTGCATCCTGCCCAACTGGTTGCACCAACGACACCATTTCATATATTTCAAAACCAAACCTATGAATTCCAACTTAAACTCGCACTGAACTACAGCCCATGTTGATGCACATTGCTACAGGATTTGAAAAAGCTGCCATTCCTCACTTACACAGCTGGGGTTTGTGTTTGCTTGTGTGTGTAGTGTGTGAGTGTAAGTGACAAGCAGGCTTGTCCTTTCACCTGTGAATGAGAGATATTTCTCTTGATCTATTTTCTGACCTTTATATTAAATACTGTACTCCTTTGTGATATTTCTCCACTAGGGACAGGAACATGGCTTTAACAATAAAAGCGGCAATTAACCTCCATACGGTGCTACAGCTCAATCCACTAAACACGCATGGAGAAATTACGTCCCTCTCCAGTTCACAATGATACAAACATGGCTACCGAAACTTTGGTGGGATCTGCTCTCGTGCCTCAATTTGGGATGCTTAAATTCTTTTCAGTTCAAGTGGGTCAAAGGAGGACAGTGTGGAAAAGATCACATGCTTCCCAGAAAGAGCAGCGGAATAACTCTGCATCAGCACACTGTGCAGCTGTGACAACAACACCCAACTACAAGAGATGGTCAGCAGACCAGAAAGGCTGCAGGGTAGGATCAGCAGGATTTCTTCCTAAAGTTAAGGCAAAATATTTGGTACCGCATTAATAGCTCTCTGAAGCTGCTATTCATGCTCACTTTTGATTCTAATTCTATTTTAATTAAGCAGATAAATTCAGCTGAACAGAAGGCTGATACACCCCCTGAAAATGAATACACCATCAATGTATATGAGCAACAGATGGGGCTCTGCCACAATTTCATTATTCTCTTAGATTTCTCTCAACCTCGATTTCATTGAGGGCTGCATCAGGGCTGTGTTTGACCTCAGAGGGCTGGGTGTGTGTGGCCGGGGTGGGTATAACCAGTTCGATATCACTCAAGGCTCTGTTTTCATCTGCGACGGCCTCCTGCAGCCCTCTGCCAGCAAAAATAGAGTGGGGGGGGGGGGCACGCACAAGCTGGTCCTTCGCTGTTTCCAGGGAGGACCCACGGGCCAGATCTAAGCACCCGTGAGCTGAATCCCGCTCACAGGACTTGAGTTTAACACTCCTGTCTTAGACGATTATCTGCCGTTATTTCAATAGGCTACTGGCTTTATCCAGCCGTGAATCCAATTATGTAGAGTCACTGTATGATCATTGCCCAAATCTGGTAGGAATGCCTGGTTTTTTTTATAGGTACACCCAAATGTATCCATGTTTTGGACTTCACCCTTAGTGATTGGGCATCTTTATATATATAATGCTAAAAATGTGTGTGTGTGTGTGTGTGTGTGTAGTATATATATAGTATATATATAGTGTATGTATGTATGTATGTGTGTATGTATGTATGTATGTGTATATATACATATACATATACATATACATATACATACATACATACATACATACATACATATATATATATATATAGTGTGGATCTTTGGTTATTTCCTGCGTAAGATTGGAAGTATCTAGGCAACGTTTCGATGAAGTCTCATTCATCATCTTCAGGCTTGTGTCTTCGGCTCTGTGCTTCTCTTCTCATGAGAAGACCTTCCACTGCAAAACACTACCTGGTGGGACTAAGAGAAA